AGAGTGAACACTATTATACTTGCGGATTACAAACATATTCGATAGTCTCAGTTTGCATGCTCGGATATGCCACACATATTTCGGATCCACACACTCTACTACAAGCACGACTTTATTTGAATTTGTTGTTCGAAACTCAAACTTCCCCTTTAAAGCTATTAAATGCAGCTTTTCCTTCAAATCATTCTTACTCGTAAAGTACTGACCAACTTCTAAACTAGATCTGTCACTGAAGGTATATCCATGAGATGATCCAAACTCTGTATGGTTGATACAAACTAAAGGACCAGCAACTTCTACTTCATTTAAAATGGCAAGTGGTTGTGGCTTTAGGTGTGGCTGTGACTCTAGTTACGACTGTGGTAGAATATCATTACGAGTAAAAAACTCATCTGTAGCTACAATACCCATGAAATCACGATAAAAAAATCGTCATGCAAACGATTTCTCCTAATTTTGACTCCATCAATATGTTCTTCTGGATTCATAAACTTCTCATCCACTGTCACGTGTAGCGGTCCCTCGTGGGCTATATCCCTGAAGAATAACAAATCATCAGTGTCTTTTATTACAACGAACAACGATTTCTGTTTCAAATTCGGCACCCACGATAACTGCAAGGAATGTTTTTATCCATCAATTCCACATTTTTTACAAATCTTATCAACGAAGGTTTCGAGAGTATCCTTCTCATCCATATATATGCCAATTAAATTACAGTCTGTATGCCACAGCCAACAACTTTCATTATCCTCCTATTTTCCTCCAATGTCAAAAAAAATCCTCCATTGAGGCATTATTTAGATTTTACAACTGCAAAAATTTAATCAAGATAATAATATGTTATTAAACCAAACCAAATATCCCATGAACAGACTAAGAATTGACCATATAATAAGAACAGACCAAGAACAGACCATATAATAAGAACAAACCAAGAACAGATTAAGAATCGACTGTGCAATAAGAGCATACTAAAAACCGACAGTGCAATAACAACAGACCAAGAATAGACCAAGAACAGACTAAGAACCGATCGTGTAATAAGAACAGAGCAAGAACAGACTAAGAACCGACCGTGTAATAAGAACAGACCAAGAACAGACTAAGAACTGACCATGCAATAAGAACAAACCAAGAACAGACCACGAACCGACCATGTAATAAGAACATACCAAAAATAGACCAAGAATAGACCACGAACAGATCAAGAGCAGACCACGAACCGACCATGTAATAAAAACAGACCAAGAACCGACCAAGAACAGACCACGAACCGACCATGTATATGAACAGACTAAGAATATACCAAGAACATACCACAAACCGACCAAGAACAAACCTTTTTTTTTCTAAACCCAGCAGATCTTCATCATATCAGACAATGTAAACTGGTCTTTTACCATGTAAAATTAATATTTTAATGGATTTTTAACATTTTTAACTACATTCTCATCTTAAAAACATATGAACAACAACGAAAAACACCTTGAGAAATATTGAAAAAAAAAGACTTACTTAGTAGCTCTTCTTCAAACTTCGGTTTGGACAAGAAAAAAATGTTGAATGGGCAAAATAATAATGTTAATGAGGTTGTGCGACGATGATGACTTGAGAAGAAGAGAGAAGAAATGGAAGGCGGCTGGGAGAAGAAAATGGCGTGAAATGGAAGAGGAGGGGGAGAAAGAAACCCCTAAAAGCATAATTGATGATGTGGAATAGTTGATGTAGAAGTTGGCCTATTTACCCAATTTATTTTTTTTGTGATTTATTTACTTAAAATCACTTTTTACTTAGTCTATTTATACAAAAGGCCCTTTTATGAAACCGTTTAAGAGAGCTTAGGAAATATCGATATATTGAGGTGTGGGATTTCAGTCTTCTAGGCTGTTCTTTTTCTGTAGAATCACATGAAAGTGGATTGAGATCGCAGAGGGGAGTTTTTTTTGTAAATACTTAAAAAGTTAGGTAAAAAGTCTAATTTTCAAAACTTATGGGGAAGGGTAATAAAAATTGAAAAGTGGCCAGATTTTCACGGAGATAAATTTAAAATGCAAACTTTTTAATTAATATAAATGATAAAATTTAGGTTAGGCATAATAATAATTACAAATTTACATGATTAAACACTTTTAATTATACCGGTTGTTACACAAGGGCTAAGATTTGAAGGCTCGGGATCTATGATGAGTTGATATGCAACTTTTGATGAATGACAATCTGAATTTTAGACACTATGATTAATCTTAATGAGCACAACGGATTAAACGAACTATAAGAAGTATGAATGGAACATAAAGAATTACTATGTTAATTAAGTGGTTAAATTGACACTAATTTATGTCAATTAAATCACAAAAATGAGGAGTTACATCACTATTAAGATAAAGATATAATCATCTTAAATAATTTAAGAATTAACATACCAATAATTTTGGATTAAGTTTAGGTGACACTTTAAAAAAAAGTTAACGGTGTAGATTGAAAGTAGTCATCGTCCACCCCTTCCCAGCAAACACACACACACACACACAGAGCGAGAGAGAGAGACTGCCTTTGTCAGAATCTTGCTCACGCTCGTCGGAGACTCACGATCTCCAACGACGATCTTGAACGGAGGTCGGCCGAACTGGTTCACGACAGCCTCTGTTGGAATATGGTTCGTGCGTTCATCAATCAACTTCGGCGGTGTCGTAACAATCTGTTGGTCTCCGGATGGAATCCGGATGCGGAAGCGCGGTGGTGCAGGGAAGAGGTGGATCGTGTATAACAAAAATTTTCATAAAACTTTTGAGATACTCTATAGATTATATTAATTTATGCACGAATAAATTAATCTCATTAACTTATATATATATCAAGAACTCAATCAGGAAAAATACCTGGAAGCCGACTCGGATGATAACTCGAGTTCTTTGACCACGAACAGTTCTTGCTCCAATCTTTGTGTTTAGAAAACCAATGTCTTCCACATCAATTCCTAGAATCCATGAAGACGTGTGTGTGGGCACACATGAGACAAAATGGGTTACAATAAACACTCAAATTTCCACAAACACCATCACATGCACGATGTGGAATTTTTGGAGAAAAATTTTTTCCTTCCTTTCTCTCTTGAGAATTTCGGCCAGCCTTAACCCTTAGGGCAGAAAAATTGTTTCCTTCTTTCTATAGAGAAATTTCGGCCACCTCTAAAATTAGGGTAAAAAACCATTCCGAAAATTGTCTCAAAAATAGTATTTATAGAGTAGAAGTCAAACTTCTAGAA